GTTTTGTTAATAGTTTAGTGTTTATTTTGGAGGGTTTTGTTAATAGTTTTGTGTTTATTTTGGAGGGTTTTGTTAATAGTTTAGTGTTTATTTTGGAGGGTTTTGTTAATAGTTTAGTGTTTATTTTGGAGGTTTTGTTAATAGTTTAGTGTTTATTTTGGAGGGTTTTGTTAATAGTTTTGTGTTTATTTTGGAGGGTTTTGTTAATAGTTTTGTGTTTATGTTTTTGGAGGGTTTTGTTAATAGTTTTGTGTTTTATTGCAGTGGGGAGGAGCTGTATCCAGGACGGTCGTACGGAGCTCTGGACTCTGGGTTCAACAGTGTGGACAGTGGAGACAAACGGTGGTCTGGAAACGAGGTGAGTGAAACAGAAGAGGAGGAGGGTCAGAGGACGTTCAAGAGGACGTTCAGAGGGTCAGAGGACGTTCAGAGGGTCAGGACGTTCTAGAGGACGTTCAGAGGGTCAGAGGACGTTCAGAGGGTCAGAGGACGTTCTAGAGGACGTTCAGAGGGTCAGAGGACGTTCAGAGGGTCAGAGGACGTTCAGAGGGTCAGGACGTTCTAGAGGACCTTCAGAGGGTCAGAGGACGTTCTAGAGGACGTTCAGAGGGTCAGAGGACGTTCAGAGGGTCAGAGGACGTTCTAGAGGACGTTTAGAGATGTTCATGTTCGTGTTTGTGTGTTCAGCCGTCAGAGGAGGACCTCTCGTCTAAAGTGGCCGAGCTGAGCCGAGAGCAGAGACACAGGAGCAGCCTGCACAACGGCGCCCCCTGTGAGTAATGCATGGTACTGGGGGTTCTGGAGCTGTCCTGGAGGGTTCTGGAGCTGTCCTGGAGGGTTCTAGGAGGTTCTGGAGGGTTCTGGAGGGTTCTGGAGCTGTCCTGAAGGGTTCTGGAGCTGTCCTGGAGGGTTCTAGGAGGTTCTGGAGGGTTCTGGAAGGATCTGGAGGGTTCTGGGAGGTTCTGGAGGGTTCTGGGAGGACCTGGAGGGTTCTGCGAGGACCTGGAGGGTTCTGGAGCTGTCCTGAAGGGTTCTGGAGCTGTCCTGGAGGGTTCTAGGAGGTTCTGGAGGGTTCTGGAAGGATCTGGAGGGTTCTGGGAGGACCTGGAGGGTCCTGGAGCTGTCCCGTAGGGTTCTGGGAGGTTCTGGGAGGTTCTCCGCTCACACTTTGTGCTGGTGCTGTTTCAGACTCGGAGTCGGAGCAGATCGACTTCATCGACAGCAGTGCGACTGAGGAGGAGGAGGAGGAGGGACGAAGGCAGAGTCTGAGCTCACAGTTTATGGCCTACATCGAGAAGAGGATCACCAGAGAGGTACTACATCTACTACTACTACTACAACTACATGTACTACTACATGTACTACTACTACTACTACTACTACTACTGCTCCTCCTAAACCAGGTCCATGGGTGTGTACTCGTCCCTGTACTCGTCTCTTTGCTCTTACACTTGTTCTGATCTTCTTCTAAATGTTCTTTGTCCTGTCAGTGGACTTTCTTCTTCAGGATCGATACTTGTGAAAAACGAGGATCTAGTTTTAGTTTCAGTCTCAGTTTTAGTGTCGAGTAGGATCTGATGTTCTGTACTTTGTGGTCTCCTCTCTCATCATGAACGTGTTCCAGGGTTCTCCGGTGAAGAGTGCAGCGAGCCGCACAGACGACAGACGCTTACACAGGTACACCTCCAGACACCTCCAGACACCTCCAGACACCTCCAGACACCTGCAGACACCTGCAGACACCTGCAGACACCTGCAGACACCTGCACCTGCAGACACCTCTGCAGACACCTGCAGACACCTGCAGACACCTGCAGACACCTCCAGACACCTCCAGACACCTCCAGACACCTGCAGACACCTGCAGACACCTGCAGACACCTGACACTGCAGACACCTGCAGACACCTCCAGACACCTCCAGCAGACACCTGCAGACACCTGCAGACACCTGCAGACACCTGCAGACACCTCCAGACACCTCCAGACACCTCACTGCAGACACCTGCAGACACCCTGCAGACACCTCCAGACACCTCCAGACACCTGCAGACAACACCTGCACACCTGCAGAACACCTCCAGACACCTCCAGACACCTGCAGACACCTGCAGACACCTGCAGACACAGACACCTGCAGACACCTGCAGACACCTCCAGACACCTGCAGACACCTGCAGACACCTGCAGACACCTCCAGACACCTGCAGACACCTGCAGACACCTGCAAACACCTGCAGACACCTGCAGACACCTCCAGACACCTGCAAGACACCTCCAGACACCTCCAGACACCTGCCAGACACCTGCAGACACCTGCAGACACCTGCAGACACCTGCAGACACCTGCAGACACCTGCAGACACCTGCAGACACCTGCAGACACCTGCAGACACCTGCAAACACCTGCAGACACCTGCAAACACCTGCAAACACCTGCAAACACCTGCAAACACCTGCAAACACCTGCAGACACCTGCAAACACCTGCAGACACCTGCAGACACCTGCAGACACCTGCAGACACCTCCAGACACCTGCAGACACCTGCAGACACCTGCAGACACCTGCAGACACCTCCAGACACCTGCAGACACCTGCAGACACCTGCAGACACCTGACACCTGCAGACACCTCCAGACACCTGCAGACACCTGCAAACATCTACTGAACCAGGACTAAACCAGGACTAGACCTGGACTAACCGTGGTTCTGTGTGCAGGAGCGTGGTGGATGGAGTGTTGGCGCCCTCTGCTGGTCACACACAGGTAACACACTGCAGATTCTTCAGACTGTGACTCTTGTCCTTCAGGAGAACATCTTCTGCTTCTTCTTCTCTCTCTCTCTCTCTCTCGTGGGTGAGGAGCTTCTAGTCTAGACCAGGATTCGGCAACCCAAACTGTTCAAAGAGCCATATTGGCCCAAAAAAACAAAACCCAGATCTGCCTGGAGCCTTATATAATCTAATATATATATATATATAATATATATATATATATATATATATATATATATATAATAATAATATATATGAGCCTAATATGAAGACGACACAGGCTGTCAGTATGTTAACTGTATAAACCCACTATTAAAATGACTCATAGGCTACAAATACAAAAATACATTCATGATACACAAACCCCTTTGACCCTCTCACACTCGCTGCTCCGTCTGTAGCCACTGAAGTCAGGTGGTTAGTGTTTATTCCTTTGTCATTTAGGCCCTGTTTACACGGACACAGGGATTTTGAGAAACTAATATTTCCCTCCCTGCGTTTTCCAAAGTAACATCGTGCACACAGCATCGTTTTCAAAAAAGTTTCCGTTTACATCAACCCGGATAAATACACCATCGAGCGCCGTCAGAACGACACGACCCTCTGGGAACACCTGGATCAGACTCAAACCTGTAGCTTTTATTTCATTACAGTTGTAAGTTTTACTCACAAATACCTTGAAAAACGTGCATTAGTGAGCGGCTCGCCTCTCCACAGATCTGTTAAAGAAGTGGTAAAATCACTGACCTCTGAGTCGTCGTTCATCTGCTCATGGATCTGATCCATCATCTGTGTGTGAATGAAACACATGAAAAGTGTTTCAGCAGAACAAACAGATGAACTGAAGCTGAAGTGGGGGGTGGTGTCCACCTCCACCTGACAAGAACTTTCCCCGAAAAAAACCAACAACAAAAGAACACGTGCGCAGACGGACGCTCAGAACAACATATAACGAACCAAACTGGATTCACGCTTCTGTCGGGACCCTGCTCCACCTCAGAACCAGACCAGAGCAGCCGGACCTGTGGTCCACAGAACATTCTCACTTTTCCCACACGGAACCAGAGCACAGACGACTGTGCAGTGCAGTCGTCTGTGCTCTGTGGACCACAGTTTTTTTGTTGTTGTTTTTTTTCGGGGAAAGTTCTTGTCAGGTGGAGGTGGACACCACCCCCCACTTCAGCTTCAGTTCATCTGTTTGTTCTGCTGAAACACTTTTCATGTGTTTCATTCACACACAGATGATGGATCAGATCCATGAGCAGATGAACGAGGGTTTTACCCCGAAACAAACCAGATTAAAACAACATCCAAAAAAAAAAATTATTCCTTTTCCATTTTCACTCATTTTTGAAAAAGCTCCAGGGAGCCACTAGGGGGGTGCTAAAGAGCCACAGGTTGCTAACCCCTGTTCTAGAGTCCTCCAGGCATGTTTGACTCATCTAGAGATCTCTCCTGGGCCCTGTTCAGACCCTGTACAAGGCTCCGCCCACAGGCTCCCACATCACAACTCTCCATAAAACACAAAAACACGACACAAAAGTGAACAGAGCGACTGGACAAACCTGATGTGTGTGTGCAGGAGTTTCGCTAGTGCGACGCTCTGAAGGGGGAGCAACTCAGCACAGAGAGCACAGGGAGGGGGGATATTTAACATTTTCCAAACAGTAAAAGTGTGACGTGTGACAGACAAACCTCCTCTTTAAATCACACGTCTTTAATAATCTGTCCCACTTTGCAGAGGTCCAGTCCCGGGTCTGGTCTGGTCCTGGTCCCGGTCCTGGTCCCGGTCCTGGTCCTGGGTTGGAGAGGATGAGGAGAGAGGCTCAACTTGCGGCTCAGAAATACGACGAAGAGAGACACAAGAACACGAGGCACACGACCACCTACACCAAGGTACACACACCTGGTTTAGACCTGGTTTAGTCCTGGTTTAGTTCTGGTTTAGTCCTGGTTTAGTCCTGGTTTAGTCCTGGTTTAGTTCTGGTTTAGTCCTGGTTTAGTCCTGGTTTAGTCCTGGTTTAGTTCTGTTCTAAACCTGTTTCTGTTGTTTTCAGCTTAAAGCTCAGAGTCCGTCAAAGTCCAGTCCAGAGACAGAGGTGAGTCCAAACCCCCCCCACCTGTCCCCCCGTCTCACCTGTCCCCCCTGTCCCCCCGTCTCACCTGTCCCTCCTGTCCCTCCTGTCCCTCCTGTCTCCCTGTCCCCCTGTCCCCCTGTCCCCTGTC